AATGGCAACTATTTTGATTAAATAAATTTGTTAAAAATTTAAAAAATGAACAATTTAGATTTTCAGTACAAATCGGCAATTTCATACTTTAACCCCTATTATAAGGATGTCGACGCGTGTCGACGCTCGATTCCATATTTGACACAAGTTTGTACCTTGACAATGGGAAAATAGAGATGAATATGCTACAGGCGAAAAACATGACGCGTCGCGACGCTTCGACTCTGCGCCAGTGAGTTGAGCCTTAGGGGGTTTTGTTTTCTTTTGTTCGATAATTTCTTCGATAGTAAAAATAAAAATAAAAATAAAAATAAAAATCATTTATTTCGAACCGTAGTCCATAGTATTAGTAACAAGTAACCTTATATACTATGTTAGTAACAGCATATTTATGACAGAATTATCTATAATAAACAAAAGGAAACAAGGCACCACTACGGCACATAATGATTGTACGTGACAGCGGTGTCCTTAGTTATGTGAACGCGCGTCCAGTGCTGCATTACAGCACTGTCCACGTGCAGTCTATCTGCTACTGTCCGCAGGAGACCGTTGGAGCTGCCCCGCACCCTCTGTAACAGGGATGTGATACGTTTTCTGATGATGACAGAAAAGCTATCAATCTCAGACGTGGCTAGCATCCCTGAAGCACTACAGTAACGTGGAAGCCCCATCAGCGCCCTGAAAGCATTGTTATATTGCGTACGCAGAGCCCTGTATGCACCCTGAGTATAATTCAACCACAGGCTGCACGTGTACAGAGAATTACAATAAGCTCTAAACAGTGTGACTTTAACTTCATTAGTACAACGCGCAAACCTCCGAGAAAGCAAATTAGCTCGAATGCAAAGGGCCCTGCGCTCACGTTCCATGTCCAAATCATCCTTAAGCGATTCCGTGACCCAATGTCCCAGGTACTTGAAACTGCGCACTTGTCCAAGCGAATCACCATTGAGCATTACGGGCGGAACTTTATAAGTCTTGCATCCAGCCTTAAACACAAGCAGCACACTTTTTGTTGTGTTGTACCTAAGACCGTGAGCCACAGCAAACCGCTAGCAGCAGATGCGCAGGAGTTTCCTGAGAGCACTGATTGATGGGCACAGCAGCACCATATCGTCAGCGTAACTAATATTGTTGACAAAGGTACCGTCAATGGAACACCCGACTCCGGCGCTGCTGAGCTCACCAATCAGTCCGTCCATGTACAGACTAAAAAGGGCTGGAGAAGTTATTCCCCCCTGCCGCACGCCACATTCCAGGCCGTACACGTCCGAGAGCCCCCCAGAACACTTAACATAATTCCTTTGATTTGCATACCAGTACTTTAATATGGAAATACACTCAGGCGGCATACTTGTATCATTATAGAGCTTTTTCCAAAGTATGTCATATTGAACCAAATCAAACGCCCTAGACAAGTCCAAAAATGCAGCATAAACAGGCGTACCTCGCACAGTATAGTACTGGACAGTCTGCTTGAGACACAGGACAGCGGCTTCAGTAGACAGACCCGGTCTAAAACCAAACTGTGCATGGTGTAGCTTAATATGAGCGCCCAGCTGCTGATCAAGCAGCCTGTCCAACACTTTCGCGATTATGGTCGCCAGAGATATTGGTCGGTAGTTTAATTTGTCACTCGTATCGCCAGTCTTATTTTTGACAATCGGAACAACTATCGTCTCTAACATCCTGTCCGGTAAGTATCCATGACTAATGCAAAGGGAAAAGAACATGGCCAGCACTCGTGGTAAGTGTGCACCAGCATATTGCAAATGTTCAATGCTTACGTGATCATGCCCAGGAGATTTGCCCCGAGACATTTTACCGAACACAGACCGAATATCTCCGGCAGTAATTACAACCGGCTTATTGCTTGGCCATTTTTCACCATAACTGGCAGTATTATTATTATTTTTGCCACTTGAACCTGTACCCAGTGCCGACTGCACCATAAAATGATTCTTGAACATTTCGGCTATTTGTGAGGGCTCACTCAGCCCCTCTATATTTGCTGGAAAACAAGGTTTTGGGTTAAGCTTTTTAGTTTGTTTCCAAAAATTTGGAAATTGTTTATCTGAGTGATACATAGCCAAAATGTCCATCTTAATCTGCTGCTTATTTGTCTGACACCACTTAAGCTTAACTTTGAAGGCTTTCCTTGATTCACACATTTTATCATACACATACCCAGCTCGAGGCTTATTATATAGAACCCAGTACTGAAACCAAAAGCGAGCCTCACTATGAGCTGCCTTTACATGTTTATTCCAGCCACATATGTACTTTTTATTATTATTTGACAATTTTCTTTTACAACTATGAATAGAAGCCTCGGTAAGCGTACTCACAATCTTATTATACATCTCCAATAAGATCATATTATTATGATAGTACTTTTAGTTTCTTTTTTTTTGTATGCAGTAATTTTCTTTCTATTTTCTTTTACAATTAAGGTTTTTTTTTCATAAATGCTGTATACGCCTGTAATACTGTATAAAAATTTACATGTTAAAACAGTGTAAGTTTATCTATGTATGAGCCGATTGTGTAGGTTATCTAAATAAATTAATAAAATTTTCAAATCTTCTATTCTATTTAAGCATGAAAATGTTACCGATTAATTTCGTTCGTAGAATCATTTATATCTGATGAAAATTTGCCATTTCGCAGATGTGGCATTATTATGGCTATAGGTGAAGATTGAAAATCAACAATGCTGAGTAAGTATTCATCCTTTTTGTCTACATTACTGTGCTTTCGTTTTAATTGTTCGCTTATAATTGAAGTCGTATTACAAAATTGAAGAGTATGTGTTATATAAAGATGTATAGAAAGACAACATGAGTTTAGATTCCACACAATTATGATTCAAAGTGTATTCCATAGCATTTAAGTTTATTTGGAAAGAGTAATCCCTAGAGTTTCTTGCTGGTTCTTCTGAGAAATCAGCGAACGAACTGAACGAGCAGTAGCTTCAAAAATGACATTTTCAAGTGTAAAAATTTTACCTATGGCATTAACTGCCTCCGTGGCCAAACGGTTACTAACTGCCACGCAGAGGTCCCAGGTTCGATGCCCGAGCTGGGAGAAATATTTGTATGGCCTACATTTATTTCTCTCGTGAGTTTGGGTGTAATTTGTGGTTGCCTCTGTGTGTATCCATGGCACCCGTGACCTAGGATTTCCCTAGTACGGGGCCATGTTGAGTGTGTGCGTTATTATTAAAAAAAAATGATTATTTGACTTTGACTTGTAAGTGTATAAATAAATGTCTTTTTATTTTATTTATTTTATTATCACACCAAAAGTGCAAAAAAAATCATTTTCACTAATTCAGATCCCTATAGTAACGAGCTGAATAAGTTAGATTAATTATAGTAGTAACAAATTGAGTCGTGTTGAAACTAATGATATTTGAATTAAAAAATTCATGGTATTTACTTACATAATAATTATATTAATAAATTATGAATATGATACATAAATTTGGGTAAGCAACTCACATTCATTACATAACATATAGTGTTATATTTGTTAATTGTGTTTATTTGATTGCGTACATAAAAACGTCACTGTCTCGTGTCTGGTGTTTGTTTGGTGCGCCTGTGATGCACTCCATGGGTTCCATATAATACCAGCGCCGTGGCTGTTCTAAGCCATGGCATATGCTGAGTGGTGCCCATTCAGAGTCTTAATCTTAGTTTTAATTTATTTCTTTACTTTTTAAGTACAATTTAAAATGAATGGTACTGAATAAAAATTTTCTTTCTTTTTCTTTGAATATCTTTAAACAGCTCAACTTTGATTATCTATCACAGTTAAGTATCATCCCAATTAAATTAGCTTTAAATTGAAAGAAAAAAACTCATTAAGACCAACCTTTCCGTTCAGGAGCTACGATGATACAACACACGAACTGACACACGGATACATAGACAAATACATTTGGCCACAATGTCTCCTAATGTTAAGCGACGAGATCAATGTCTATCTACTCTAGCTTGGTCAATTACTTATAATATATATTTCAATTGAAACAAAACATTTTAGCTGTGACCTCTTTTAAAATCAGGAGTTACGACAAACACACCAAATCATTAGATACTGAATTTAAATATTTCCTGCAGAGGTAAAAAAAACTGGCCGGAAATGTTGCAATGCGTCCAGTCATTACGGAATCTATTCTTATTGTACATTTTGTATGATATACTCATAGCAACAAATTACCGACCGGATTATTGCAAAGCGATACGTCCTTCCGTAAACCAATACTGCACTGATCTATTCCTAGTAATTAATTTGTCTATGAATGGGAGAGCTGCAAGACACCACCGATAGTATCAGTCGCTTATCCATAATATTACTATACCTTATTTCTCTGGAAGGAGAGATACTCCGCGGCGTCACTCATCCCGCTATAGGAACACCTCCGAACCGGGCATGATATACCTTGGCAAACTTGGAAGTCCCTAAATAAGCTGCGGACCCAAGTCGGCCGAAGCAAGGAGTGCATCCACGGGTGGGGTTACAGCTCGGAGAGCGCAAGTCCGAGTTGTGTCTCTCCAGTAACAATAGCACATCATTTATCCTGCTCTGTGTGTCCCTTCACCTACACACGCGAGGACCTGTACAACGCCACTGATAATGCTCTCTCAGTCGCTAAGTAATGGTCCTCACAAATATAAACGTCAGAGTCGACACGCCAAGAAGAAGACTTTACCAACACAAGACTAACGTGTAAGCCAATTACAACCTAACGCATTATTCTTAAATTATAATCACTTAAACAACAAAAAAGCTATTTAAAAATGATTACAAAACTTTTAAAATATGCATTTAATCTTCTCTTCTTTTTCTTCTTCTTTATTATTATTTACCACATAAAATTTTAGACAAGTTTAAAACAAGATTTCATCTCAACCTCGCCTGGATATCTATCCAGGTGAGGTTATAAACAACTATTGTTAGCACCACATACATGGAAAGATTACAGGACAAAAATAAAACACATTAGCAGGGTAAAAATTGGCGGTATTATCGCTTACAGCGATTTCTTCCAGACAACCTCACCTATTATAATCTTAAGCGACAGTGTAACTGACTGTAGTATACCTTTGTCCAAAAATGCCTATTCACACTACTCTTGAAATATAAATTCAGTAAATACCGATGTCGACAGTACATAATTGGATTAATGCGATGACATTTTAATGACTCGTCCACGAATAGTTTAAGCACATAAAAAGCCAAAAAATACTAAAAGAAATACCAAATTTACTTCAAAACAATTATTTCCATAACAATGAAGTTTGCATGCGCACAACAATCGCGTCGTATTATTTTCAATAAAAACTAATTGTATAATTACACTAACAATTATAGAACTACACATGCGGTATTATAAGTTTCTTATCTTAAATCAGTAAAGCAACTTATCTTTACCACCAAAATGAGACAATCTAGCGTTCTCTCTCGCACGAACGCTCGAATTGCAACTTACTTTCTCGTATATAGGCTGGCAAATTCACAGTGAACCAAAATTTTTCTTTTTAAAAGAGAGCGTAACGACCTATTTAAAATAAACATCAGTTCAGCGATAATCAATAGTTCATTCATTCATTTATTTATTTGCATTTCACATGGATGATAAACTTATACTTGTGATACCTACCCTGTAAGGGTGTAGCAAAGTTACAATGGAATTTAAATACATTGCAAGCTTGAACGTAGTTAACTAGTAATTAATTAATTATATTATAGATTCTATAATTATTAATAAACATAATTATCACATAATATTTTTATCTTAAAATTAATTAAATTATTATTTTTATAATTATTAAACATTTTTATTACTATTACATTTAATTTAATTTCATTTAATTTCATTTACAGTAGTAGTTTACAGGTTGTAATTCTATTTTTGTATTTTTTTTTTAATTAGCTACTCTCTATTAGAAGGTTGTAATAAATATTTTATTTGTAATTCGATTGTTGTTACAATAATTGCTTAAGTGACTCCCATTACCCCCTTTTCCCCTATTACATAATGTTGCAATTGTTTACACAAAATTGTAGTAGTACATAACCATTGCAACGACTAGAAATTAACACTAAAAATTTACAATTCCACTAGAATGGGAATTTAAACAAATCTAATAGCTTTAAAAAATATCAGTGTAACTCAAATTTATCTTACCATTTAAAAAAAATAGTTTCGTGTATGAGATAGAGTTGAGACTTAGGGTGCGTTCCGATTATGTCGTAACGTTTTATTTAACGTTGGACGACTGTCGCGTCTAGCCTGTTCCCATATCACGACTATCTGTCGTGATTGTGTCGTCGACGTTTATTTTATCGTTGACCGACTTCATGTATAGCTGTTCCCACTAGATCGTGACGACAATTCGTCGGTTCACGGCAGCCGTTTCGTCGTTTTCACAACAAAATCGTCTGAAGCTGCGATTATCTGTCGTTACATTTTTATCGTGACGTTATATTATCGTCAGACGGCTGTCGGTCTTGCTCTTCCCATTGTCACGACAGTCTGTCGTCGTAACGTCAAAAACGTCGTGAACGACGGTTAATCGTGTACTACATTATGTATGGGAACCACTTCATTTAAATATACAAGTACACTTTAAACTGCACGACTGTCTGTCGTTACGTCGTATAATGGGAACAAGCTCTTAGGAACAAAATCACACAGCAAAAGTTTATGATTATTTTTGTAACAACAAAACTAAACAGACGCTTTACAATAGCTTTTCGAAGTGCAAAAAGGTTATTTTTTCAACCTGTGAAAAGCCTGTCGATTCTCTCGTGCTCTCGTTATTGCCATTTGTTTTTAAATGGGTTTTTAACAATGTCTAAAGAAAAAATTGGATCACTGGAATGAGGCACACTACATAATAATGCGCCAACATTGTATTAGATTAATATTAAGTTGAGCAGAAATGTAAAATCGTGTAATTAAAACGTCGTTTTTCATAAGAGAGAAAAAAACAGTGATGGGCAAAGGTACTCGATAGAATCTTACGTCGCAGAAGGCACAGTCAGGCGCTATTTATGGAATACTTCGTGTTGTGCGGCCAGATTGTCGGTTATAATAGTTTCGCGTTTCGGTAGTCCAGAATTAAGCAAAAATGTTTATGAAGTGGTTGCCGATGTAAATCGTGTTTTGTGAACTCTATGCCACTAAGCAATTTCTAACCTTTAAGTGCACCAAGCCGCTGCCAAGGTCTCGCAGCGAGGAGATAGCGCTTCCGTCTAATGTCAATGATCGAAGACATGGAGCTAAAACATGGAGACGCCTCAGCCCAACACGTTCAGCCACTACGCGGAGTTTGGCCTCTCGAATTTGTAGCACTTCTTCGTCTGTAGATGCCCCGCTGCTTTGTTTCTGTTTAAATATTAAAGAATTCGATTCTTAGGTTTTTGCCAATTAGAAATTAAAAATTAGAAATAAACCTATTTTTTTCGGATCCAAATTGCGCTTTTTTTTCCAAGTAAACGTTTACGCAATTTAGCGCCGAAAAAAATTATTTAATAATAAAAATTAAGAACTATTAAGAATAAGTAACGTATGGTAGGTACAGTGTATGTGAAATTGTACCGTGTTTCTTCCAAAATAGGACAAAAAATATATGAGTAAAATAAGAACAATTCACCGACTGTACGGGACTTAACACAGGACCAATTACAATATTGTCCCTTTCACCAGCCTACAATAGTGGCAAACTATTGCCTTTGCATTATTAAGTAATTGCTAATATAAAGGAAGTTTCATTTGGTTTATATTTAGATCAAAACGGAACTTCGAAAACGAAGTATATTGTTTCAGAAAGGAGGTTCGTATTTAAACGACACTTACTAATGACTTAGTTAGTTCATTCATGAAAGATAGGACTCGGCTATGAACCCTCAAAAAATTACTAAACCTAATACAAAATGTTCCAGCACTTACAAGGAGCTCTATGAGAGTCAATTCCCGTGGTATGACAATACGTCGATAACCAGGCACACGACGCTCTAGCTCCTCTTGACCCGGTGGTTGCTCAGGGTCTGGAGGCGGCATCGCTAGGGCTCTAATAAATAATCGCTTCTGAGCATTTATTCATAGGTATCAGGGAAAAGATTTTTTAGCTACCAATAAAAAATCTGTCTATCTACATTATTACTTAGTGTCGACATAAAACTTTCAAATGCACTTCAGGCTCAGAAATGTGTCGTTCATTGTAAAAGTGAATTAAGTCCTTGAAATTAAATTTTGAATTAATGAGCTGTTATCAAATTAACGTGTAGTAATTTTAGTTCTCTGAGTAAACTAGTAACGCCATCTATGGGATGTTAGTGCAATTATTGGAGTTGCTTCACTTTTATAATGAAAGAAGATATGACTAAATGTCATACTTTTAAGCAAAAAATATGTTTTGAAATATGGACTTACACCACTTTTATTATAATCGACACAAATAGCTTTGTATTATATTGTATCATACGAAATAATAATATACGGACATGGCCATTCACGATGATTTATTAATACAAAATTAATACAAAGATCGAACATTTAGAAAAAATACCTTCAATCCGGCTGGTTTCGAAACAGCGTTTTCTAGCAAACCCTGTTAAGATGCTATGCCAACTAAGCCACAAATACTTATGAAAGTAAACAAAAAAACATTGTATACAAGGAATTATTATCACCTGAATAATGGAGAAGGTCTTAAATTTTGCGGCTCTGGGGAACTCGTGCCTGAGACTTCGGAAGAAGACAGAGAAGTACCCAAGCTTGGGGTCCGAGGGGCGTCACATTGCTCCGCACAAGGCGCTTCATATGCTGGCATTGTGACTTGTTTTCCAGAAGAGTAAAACAGAACACTGCACATAGAACACTTTATGACAATCGTTGAACTTATCAAAACCACTTGAAAGTTTTCAAAAACGACAACAAAATGACAGTTATACAACAATAAATAGAAAAATTCACATTATTTACAAACCCAAAATATATTTCTCAAGGTTTTGTGAATTTGTTTACAGGTTGCTATTGCCAACAAACCTTTTAAAAATGGCGCCCTTCGTATTTTTTGTTTTGTTTTGGCACTTCGCGGTTTGCGTTTGTGACTCTGCAAAGCGGGGAAACTTATATAAGGAAAACAACGCAAAGGAAATATAATTTGGAAGAAAATATCAGGGAAGTGCGATTAAGGTTAAATAGAAATGCATAAACATAAAAAAATATATGAGTTATATCACAAACGTATAGCTACTTAATAACCAACACAAACCACTCAATAGCCACGACGTACAAAAATACACAAATCAAAAATCATTTGTGTACAAAAATCATCTATTTGAAACTCAGGGTCGTATTCCAGAACTCTACTCAATGCCCGAGGCCTTGTTATTAGGGTCGTATTTCCAATGCTTGAAATGATAGGTACTTAAGTCCTTGACATTAGAGTCTTATTACCAGTGCTTGAAATCACACTCAAGTTCTGACTTGAGCATTGAGTAGAGTTCTGGAATACGAACCACAGACCTTAGACTATTTCCATCCTCTAAGCCTCAGACTATTTTCCATCCTTGATTTGAAAATTTGAAATGGTGTCTTTTTAATTACAATTTTTGGCTTGGATACAAGTCCTTTGAGCCAGGTCTTCATTTACTTATCGTGATCCTCAATGCATATTTTCTATTGCGTTTTTAATTCTTGTTTAATGGCAAAAATAAATTTTAATTTTGTAAGTAGTCTTTTAAATGGCGGGAGTCATTATTCATGTTTTCACTTTCACTTTCACTTAATCACTTAGTTCACTTGCTATTAAAAGACGTTGGCATTTTAAATATGGCTAGCAGGTATTTCTTCTTGTATGCTTCCATACGATTTGCTTTTTAAATCATGATCCTTCTTCTAGAAACTTTTCCATAAAGTTGTCATATTATTGCATAAACCTGTATAACAAGTGGTACATATTTCTTTTATTTTTTTCCATCCTCTAAGGTAAAGACGATAAAAGCATGTAAACGAGCTGAACTTTTAATCATAATTGGAAATTTTCTAATTGTGAAAATTTTTCCGGAATAATATCTGAAAAATTGGAAAAATGTAATTCGAAGGCTCATATTATGTTCTTCATTTAGAAATGTTCTTTTGAAATTTTATTTAGCGTGAATACAATTCGTAAAATATCATTGACGTGAATTATAACAAAATTGTACAGCTGTACACATACCTACAATAAAAAATATATAACTTCAACTAAGTCAGTACGTAGAACATTTCGACGACGAGTTGGTTCCCGAAATAACTGAAGACGAAGTTGGCTTTGCACTTAGCCGAATGAAACGAGGCAAAGCTCCTGGTGATAATGGAGTGTACGTAGAAATGCTTCAAGCAGGATGTTCAGCGATACTAAAACCACTCGCAAAACTATTCAACAAAGTTATTCAGGAAGGTGCTACTTTCAAAATGTGGAAAAACGCCTCGGTCACGATCCTGCACAAAAAAGGCGATAAAACTAAGCTTCAAAACTATCAGCCGATAAGCCTCCTTTCACAAATTTATAACTTGTTTGCAATGGTCCTGTGCAATAGGCTAACTCGCTCTCTGGACGAAAACCAACCACCTGAACAAGCAGGCTTCCGGAGTGGATACTCAACCATGGACCACATACACGCAGTCAAACAACTGATGGAGAGATGCCGCGAATACGACTGACCCTTGTGTCTCGTCTTCGGCGATTATGAGCAGGCTTTCGACAGTGTCGAATACTTGGGTGTGTTTCATTATCTCCATCGCTGTGGCATTGACAAGCGATACGTGGATATCCTTCGGGAGCTGTACAGGAACGCGACTATGCAAGTGCGTATGCATGAACTCTCAGGCCTCATCTCGATCAAACGTGGCGTCAGACAAGGAGACACCATTTCTCCCAAACTCTTCACAAGTGTCCTGGAAGACGTAATGAAGACACTCAATTGGGATGAGAGAGGTGTTAAAGTCAACGTTCGCCGCATATCGCATTTACGTTTCGCAGACGATTTGATCCTCATGGCTCGGAACTCCGCTGATCTCCAGACTATGCTCCAAGACCTGCACGAGGTTACACTAGCTATTGGCCTTGAGATGAACAAGTCCAAAACCAAGATCATGTCCAACCGTCCGGGCCCAAAACCCACCATCTTCGTTGGGAACACCCGGCTAGATTTATCTTGGACACTGTTTATCTTTTGGCCGATCTTCACATCACTCTTCGATCTTCGAAGAAGGATTCAGTTGGTATGGGCCGCCTTTGAAAAACTGAAATCTTAAATCTAAAATCCCTCAAAGCCTGAAAACTAAAGTTTATAACCAATGCGTCCTGCCCATACTTACTTACGGTGCCGAGACATGGCCGCTCACAAAGGACTACATGCACAAAATCAGAGTAGCACAACGGGTAATGGAGCGCACCATGATCGGCATTTCCGTCACTGACCGCATACCCAACGTGGAGATACGACAGCGAACAAGGGCCGTAGACGTCGGTATGCGGATCGCGAGCCAAAAATGGAGATGTGCATGACGTTGCTAGGCGGGACGAAGACCGATGGACCAAGGCGGTTACTGAGTGGTACCCGGTAGGAGCGAGACGTCCTCGAGGCAGACCACCTGTTAGATGGTCGAACGACATTGTCGGGGTGGCCGGAAGATTGTGGATGAGATTCGCACAGGACCGATTGAGCTGGCGTGCAAAAGAGGAGGCCTATACCCAGCAGTGGGTATTAACGGGCTGAGATGACGATGATGATAATGAAGTCAGCAAGTTCTTTTTTTCAGTGCAGTTCAATTCTTAAATTGAGAAATAAAATTTGTATACCTTCTTTGGTAAGAGTATACTTTCTTTGATTGGCAAGAAACCCAGTGTTAACGTGTCTCAAACGTAGGTATCATCATGCTAGCGTATCGTCATCGCTAGTTAGGAGTGCTCTATATATCGATATTCAAAAAATATCGATAAATGCCCTCGATATATCGAATCAATCCGATATTATCGCATCATTCGGTATCGATATGTATATACTATCGATATACAGGCTGTATATTTGAAAGTGAGACATATTCATGTCATAGTAAATCATGTTACAACTTAATATAGACCAAAATAAAATTAGGATATGAGATAGAACAAAAATAACACAACAAATTTGTTTTGGAGTGAACTGGGAATAAACTTATTCCCTTTACGCTTGATTTCGAGTGCAATGGGAACTTGGTACTTGGTACTTGGTGCAACGGGCTGATATCCGCAACTCGACGACAAAGCGCCTATTTTGCGTGTGGTGGGTGCGGGGTCCTACTCGTGCCACCCAAGCTCCTCCAGGAATCTCAGCAGCCTCCTTGGTTTGCTGAAGACTTCGGGGAGCGACCTTGGCACTCCAAGGTATTTTGCCCTGTAGTTGGCCACGCCGGAGCACTGAAGTAGGATGTGCGCAGCCGTTTCCTCCCCCTCCAAGCACGCTCTGCATAGAGGGCTGTCTGTGATACCTAAATTGAAAAGGTGTTTATTGTATGGACCATGACCCGTTAGCGCGGCAGTTAGAGTGCGAAGCTCTTGCCTTTTAAGTTTAATTAGTATTCGAGATAGACTGGCGTTGAGCGTTGGGAGTGCTTCCCTCGCCTGTCTACAAACCGTAAGGGTGGTCCATGTATTATTATGTAAAGATTTTGTACCTTTGTGTATAGTTGTTCTGGACCATTGGCAGGGGAGGGACACTATCGGTTCTGGTCCTACAGCGTCCGTCTCCGACCCTTTCCTGGCTAGTTCATCTGCTGCGTCATTGCCACGTGAGCCGCTGTGTCCTTTAATCCACTGAAGAGTTACGTGGTTTTGTATACATACCTCCATGAGTGCTTGATGGCATTCGTAAATGAGCCCTGAGTTTATGTCATAGCTATTCAGTGCTTGAAGTACTGACATACTGTCAGAGAGTATTCGAATGGAGTAGTTCTTTACTCTTCTCGCTATGATTGCTTCTGCCGCCAACTTGATGCCCATGCATTCAGCCTGGAATACTGTGTTGTGGTCACCAAGCGGTGCTGATATCCTGATATTGAGGTCTTCTGAGAATACCCCAGTAGGTACTGGGGTAGGAACAGGTGTTCCTGAGTTTGTTTTAGATCCATCTGTGAAGACTCGGACCTCTCTGGGGTTTAGTCCTTCGTGCAATGGGAATACTACCAAGCGAACACCGAGTGAGACAGCAACAATAACAATGATTTCACATCTCCCTTCATACTAAAACCACCTCTTTTCTCTAGAAAATAAAAAACTAAGTTACTCACATACGCATATTTATGTTATGATGAAAAAAGCTGTTATCGAAATTATCACGTTTTAGCTTACGCTAATTATTTTTTACTTCTGAACATCGTTGAAATGTTTTACGTACTAAAAAAGATAAGTTTATGATTTAGTAACTAGTTATCATGTAATAAGAATTGAGGTTTTTGGCGTAGTTAAAAGTGTGAAATCAAAATATTTACAATGATTGATTTTTTAGTTATTTACAGTTTATTTACATTTACGTGGTACGGAGCAAGTGTTCAAAATGTACACTGTTTTCCACAATGCATATTCTAGCACGTCGTAGTAAATTTTGTTTTAAATTGTTCACCACAAACACATTTTGTCTCACAGTATAAAATGCTGAGATAATCCTCTCATGCAACTCTTCGACACTGGTCACCTCCTCCGCGTAAAACTCCGATTTGGGAACATTTCAATAGCTCGTCTCACACTATCACCACTTATTGTGTGAAGTCGCACCATCTCAGTCAATTCGACGTTAGAATAAATTTTGCGCGAGCGAGCGGAAGTACAAATAATTTACGTATCTTCGCTACGACCAAGGTCGCGCGTGCACTGTCTCTATGCGCCCGCGCCCCCACCCCCGACCTGTGCTTTGATTTTCGCCGCCGTGGCACAGCTCTCCATTGCGTCGGAGCAATAATAGTGATGTGCATAGATTTGTTGTTCACATGTTGTGAACATGTTGTTCACAAGTAGAAGTCGATATTTTTTTTTATAAGGTTTAAGTTCATTAGTTTATTATTTCTTTGGGTTTGGCATGTCCCACTTTCAAATATACAGCCTGTATTTTATCCGATACATGACAAACCGTACAAAGTTAAAAGTATGCAATTCGAAATTGTACTTGCAGAAACGAAACGCACTACGAACGCTGATTCGCTGGTCATCCGTCAGCGTAACGCAGTGGTTATATTCTCATTGGATAGCAGCGCATGTGTATGCGCGGCTAGCCAATAATATAAGCGGTAATATATATTATTGACAGTAATATTGCGTGTGTACGTGCGATATTGTTGCATTGGGAACATACATAAACTTGGATTGTCAATGATATTGTATGTGTGCGGATGGTGTGCGGTTAGCCGTTGATCAGAGCTATCGGAAATAAAATGGCAGCCTGTGCTGTCTTTCGTAAAGATTTTTTCTTTCTTTTGTTTTGTTTAAAAGATTTCGTATGTGTAGACAAATTAAATATATTTTGCCTGACAAGAGGCGCCAACTGTGAGCAACGCCGTCGTTCGGTGGATATTCATTCCCGCTCCAACGATTTCGGCAGTGTTGCCGTTTTAGCGACTTGTCACTAGATCTAATGAATTTTAAGAATGTTTACGTTACGTTTATATGGAACCCGAAACGTCTGCATGTGTAAAAAAACAAATAATATATGCGAATTAGTAAACTAAATCACATATAATGTACAAGTAATTGAAGAAATACTTGAATATTGTGTCAAAACTGGTGGTTTTACTTATTTACTCTTAGTAAAATTTCCTTCCTTTTATCTTTCAGAATTATTTAGGATATATCAAAAATATCGATGTTTTGTACCGATATATCGCAAAATATCGATACAACATTTCGATATATCACATCGGAAAAAATCGATATGTTTTTATATGAACACCACTATCGCTAGTATAGTATTAGCGAGCGTACCGAATTACCGAACCGAGCTAGCTCGAGTTCATTAAAAAGTAACTCGAGTTTACAAGTTGTGCGAGTAATTCGAATTAATCAAGTAACTCGCCCGTTGTTATAAGATTTCTTCGCTTTGATTGGCAAAATAGGCATAACAGGCAAGACAAGACTGAAGAAACCATGAAGACTAAACAACAAGAAGAATAAACAGTTTTTACACGAATTAATTTTCGGTTTAAGTATACATTACGTTTTGAGCAATCTATAAGATCATTGGTTTTGAGTTTCTTATTTATTTTTATTTGTTACCTTTTCGAGCTGATGGTTCTATAGCCAATACTCAATAAATAAATATAGCGGATTAGTGCCTTTGCCTTTTCCTATGGAAAAAACAGTATAAAAAAAAATAAAAAATAGGCTGCGAAATGTCAATTTTGGCGCCAACACGGGCTTCGTATTTTCAGCGGTTTAGATTACAGAGATATTTTAATAAAATTCATCCTCACAAGTTAGGTACAACCTCAAACCGGTGACTAGGATCATTAACAAAAGGTATGTTGGTTTCTGCTTAGTAGAGAGATTACTAAGAAATATTCTTCAGCGCCACTACTATATAGTAGACACCAGAACATAAGGTAGATTTCAATTAACATTGGCATAATTCCTATCGGATCTGCTTAACCTAGTACCTATGCCTGCAGCCCTAAAACACTTGAAGCCCTGTGAATGAAGTTCTGGAAAATAAAACTTATCTATCAATTTTCTTCACACAAAATTCCCAATTTATGTATGGGAATATTAATGTTAAATATCTTTTTTAATAACTAGCCATATAAACATTTCCATCTTTATGATATAAACTTAATTATAAAAAGTACATATATATATTGTTTAGTGATCAAACTGAGCAAGAAATAGAAAGAAGGGTTACCAACTCTTGGAACTGATATTGGTCACTCAAAGACATTTAAAAACAAGCGCTATCCAATGGCAGCAAAGAGAAAGGTCTTTAACATCTGCATCCTCCCAATTTTGACTTATGGATGCCAAACATGGGCATTGACTAGTAAACACCATGAGAAACTCACAATCTGTCAAAGAAGAATGGAGAGAAATATGCTTGGATTCTCTCTAAAAAGACAAAAACAGAGCTACAGACATACGAAGGACCACCAAATTGGAGGATGTCACCACAAAACTCAAAACGCTAAAGTATAAGTGGATTGGCCACATATACAGGGAAAAAATAGAAAAGTGGACCAGAAAGGTAACAGAATGGCTACCAAGATAAAACGCCAAGAGGACAAGAAGTCGTCCATTTAAAAGATGGTCCGATGACTTTAAAAACATAGCAGGACCTCTATGGACTAGGCTAACAAGGGACAGAGCCAGATGGATAGAGCTGGGGGAGACCTATGCATCTTCAGGATGTGCTGATGTTATAGTTTAAGTAATTTATGAATATAATTGTCAATATAATTGAATGTCAGTATAGTATAGGTTAGCTTAATAATAATAAAATAATATATTGTTTATGGTTGTCCATTACTTATTATATTTATTAAGTGATGGTATGCAACATAATTTTTGAGCAGATGCCTAGATAAATCTACAGAAAAAGTGTGGAAAGCTGCTAAAAGAATTTTAAGATACCTGAAAAAAACTTCAACTTTTTATGATATGTAATCTTTGAACATCGTGTATATAACCAGAAATCTTAAGATTAATTTGTTTGAAAACTATTCTGCCAAATGACAACTGGTGAAAACTTCGCTCCGATAGGCCAGCCCAAATTCGAAATATACTTTAGAGATGGGCAAGCAAATATTTTATTATCGAAATCGATATGTTGACGCCTTACTTTCTCAAACACTTATATTTTGAACAAAACAACTGACAGTACACAACTACTAACTGGCCATAGGTCTCCCCAAAACTCAAAATCAGTCTGGACTCCTTGGGGATTTGGCACAATCACCACACCTGCAAGGTGAATAAGTGATCGCAGTATGTTAGTTGAGAAGACATCCATGGAAAGATATGGGGTGGTATTATACTAGGCAACACCACACGGCCATAAGAAGTTAAATATAGCAATAAAAACTAACGACAATGTATCACATAATAGTTAGTGTTTCTTTTGCATAATCTGACATACTTATAAAATCGATACATTATACTCATGGCTCAATACTTAACTGCGACTACGTTAGATGTAGATTTTTTACTTTACCGATTATATAAATAAATCATTATACAGTAGTAATTATACTTGCAAATATCGATACTTATTATGATTTTTTCAGTGCAACACTAGCAACGAGTGCCCAATGAATAGAATGAGATGACGTAATGGGAGTTGTAGTTGTAGGTGGAAGCAAGACGCATTATTTGAAAGAATTGATGGGTGTTGTCAATTGTTTCACTGCAAATCATCCAGTTTAACTTGAGTAATGCTATAATGGACGAAAATTTAAAAATTACATATTTAATTACTGATGAAATGTGATTTCGTTTCTTTTGTAATTAGATGTTTTTCCCACACCACCGAATAGAACAGCACGGCATTGTTAGCAATAAATACAGAATATTTTTTGGAATATACGGAGACATACACACAGGTCAGTAGTTGGCCTGTCTATATTTTAGTGCAAACTAGAGTTGATATTTATAAGAGCTGTATCGCTAACATGTTACAGGAACATGTTATATGGCCCTTATTTCATCTCTATTTCTGGTTATATATTTGATGTGTTTGAAACAGCCAAATAATAGTATTACCAGCTTTTCTGATGCAGACTGGGCCAGAGATAAAGACAGAAAAAGTGTTAGCAATATAGCTATTTATCATGGGTGCAACGTAATTTCCTGAGCATCTAAGAAACAACAAATCGTAACCCTGTCTACTGCCAAAGCTGAATACATAGCTACGGCCACATGTGCTGCCGAATTATTATTTGTAAAAGGATTTCATGAAGAGTTCAGTGATACATATCTATATAATAAATACCAAGAAGTCGATGCACATAGACGTAAAAGTACATTAAATTAAAAACATTTGTGGATAAGAAGTTGTTGAGTGTTTAATATGTGGAAAGTAACGAAAATATAGAGCAGACGATTTTGTAAAAGCTTTATACAGTGTGAAATTTATTAAAGATAATTGTGTTGTGTGAACAAATTATGTTTTTAGAGAAATGTCTTCTTCTTTTAAATGCTATGTCATATTATTTGTTTATTTTTCAAATGTCAGTTGCGTTATTGTACTCAGAGTAAAATGTTAGAATAATAAATTTTTCAGTTATATAGTGCCTCATTTTTCTTCTCGCAGTTATATAAGACTTCGAACACTTTCCTACGTTATAACTGGTAAACTTCGAAATGCAACTAAACAGAAGTAATTCATATACAGTAAAAATTCAAAACAAAATGTTTTGCACACAACAGTGACAATGTGTAAAGCAATGACAAATAGGTATAGGTTTCAATTTCATTGTTTATGTGACACAAATATATACAGCGTTTTTTTTTAATAGGATGAGCTCCTGCTCACCCTGAGGACGGAATCAGCTGATAGACCTCATAGGCACACTCATCGAAATATGTTTTGTAGAAAAACCGACAGACAGGCAACATTGCGCCAGTGGGCTAAACTATCCAGATTTGAGTTTATCGTCACCAGTATATCTCCAGCATGCTGATTTTGATTCAGTCTCGAAATCAGATGGGTTTCCGAGCGAGAAGATGAACCTGATGAACATCTTTCTAATTTATGAGTGAAATCAACTATTGTTCCGATTTGAAATGTCAAAAGTGTCCGATCGGCCAGTTGTGAATCGCAATTATGCGCCTCGACTCGTAAAAGACGCAGTTTCCGATCGGGAGAGGCCTTCAAAATAAACTTGCTGGCCCTGTGCTCAACTAAGCCATCCCACATGTGACTGCAATACTCCACGCAAGATCGGACTTCTAATTTAAATGTCTATTAACCGATTTGAATAAAACTTGGCAAATAGATGTAACGAGCACTGCGGAAGCCGATATGCAAACTTGTAAGGCCGGTTTATTTTTTGTTTGCAAAAAGTAATTTTATTTTCTTTTCTGTAAGCGTTTCACATGACTACCACGCGTCTTGCGAACTGCAACATGCATCTATCAAACGCATAAAATAAAGATTCTTGCATTTTCTCAGTGATTTCTGTCGAAACTCACCGGTCAAATTTTGAGTAAAAACCGCGTTGTACCTTAACTCGACATTGGCGGAATCATCGATGCAGCTATAACATTATAAAGAAGTACTTGCAATTTCGCGACATTAGATAACGCACTTCTGTAATACCTACCATGACATGGCTATATATACATACCTAAATAAATAAAATAATATTGTTACTAGTATTAGTTCGTTATATAGTAACTCGCGCCACTTTAATAACCGAGATTTTTCAAATGGCTTTTTGTTTATCAGGTAGCTCTAGAGTTGTAAGCAAAAGTTTTCTGTGTATACGTTCCATAATCGAGATGCCGGTAAACGGATTTGCACACGTGAAAAAACTACACGACGAGTATCAGTATCTCAACCTTGTGGAACATATCTTACAAAATGGTAAGTTAACTGAAAACCATAATGAACTTTATATCTATTGAGTAACTTACAAATTAGATACGATACTGTAGCTAAGGGAATTCCGAAGACACGACCTGTTTCTTGGCTCGTATCTAGATTGTATGTACGTTGCACAATTGACATAAAGTTTACTATGGTTACAAAAAATTCGGCACTGTAAATTGAGCCTTATTTAGTCAGTGTAACATACCTCTCTATTTTAGGAGATAAAAGAGTCGACAGAACAGGAGTTGGAACTTTATCTGTATTTGGCGCCATGCAAAGGTATTCTCTAGCAAATAACACCTTGCCTCTGCTAACAACAAAAAGGGTATTCACCCGGGGCGTTATTGAAGAACTGCTGTGGATAATTTCTGGTTCTACTGATGCTAAAGCTCTGGCTGACAGGGGCGTGCATATCTGGGACGCAAACGGATCTAGAGACTTCCTTGACAGTTTAGGCTTCAATTCTAGAGAAGAAGGTACGTAAAATTGTAGAAACTTCTATTGCAAACTCGATTCTAGAACCTTTTGACCGATCCTTTAAAAGAATACTATGGCTTTCAGCCTCAATGCATTTTTGCGTCCCGGGAAAAAATCGAGACTTTCGACAGTTCTCGAAAACCCTAGGAAAAACGAGATTTAAGACTAGACGGATTCAGGGTGCTGTTCGGCTTTCCTCGTTTCTACAGTTCGTCAAGTATATTCGCAGAAATGCAAACAGAGGATTTTGATGCAATAATATGGAAGAAAACAGAATCCTTACTGCAGAGGACTAGGAACAGCTCTAACAGTACCCTGTAAAAGTTTCGCAACAAATTGGTGGAGCCTATGCTTAAGCCATTTTATTGGTGTGCTGGTGTGGCACGTCAATTAATGTTTATTAATATAGTATGTAAGTTGTTTTCGTGTGTTACTAACAAATGGAGGTCCATAGTCCGATGTCTAAATAAAGACAAAAAAATTATAATTTAAAAAGTAGGTTTCCATGCTTACAGGTTAGGCATTTAGGCAGTCAAAAAACGATATTTTAATCAAGTTCTTTATTAACTGAAATTATTACAACAAAAATTGTTTATCAGTCTCGAGACTCGGAAATTTTTGAGACCGAGATTCCCGTAATGAAAGCCCTATTAACTACGAATCGTCCTTGCCTCGAAAAATAGACTGACAATCGCAAATGGGACAGACATTTTAATGGTTGTAAATTTTTCTGCAGCACCCGTCGGGGCCAAACACTTTCAAATTAGACGTAGGAGCGCTGTAATGTCGCCACTGTTACGCTGCAACTGCACCACTGCTAATTTTCATACAATGTTCAGATGCGCAGTTGCAACGCCACTGTCGTGACACGCGCGCAACTTTTGCAGTCACAATTAGTGACCTAAAAATTACTGAAGCGCTACAGTCGCGCCACTGAACCGCTTCTCCAAGCGTCTAATTTGAAAGCGCCCTAACCCATTTCCACGCACCGCAATATTACTGTGTTCCGGATTAAAAAGTCGACCCAGCGCAATTACAGGGACTTAAGATCTTGTCCCACAGTAGACAACTCATTTGTTTTATTGAGGATACTTTAGTAATGCAAATGTTTATATGCGAGTGTAACAACTTTTTATCATAGATGAAACGTCTGATTTTTTGGCAGTTGTAAATGTAAATGCACGACATAAAGTACAAAGTGTTGCTTTCCTAGAACGTATGATACAGCGTAGCAAAGGTTGAAATTTAGTTAATTTTTTAAATTTATCTCTTCAGGTGATCTTGGTCCAGTGTACGGATTTCAGTGGCGACACAGTGGAGCTAAATACATTGACGCCAAAACAAATTATACTGGACAGGGAATTGATCAACTGGCGAATATAATAAACACTATAAAGTAAGAAATTTAATACCACATATCCTGGAAATAAACCCCTCTTGCTAGTTAGTAGTTACCCGAGACCTCCACTGCATGAAGTTGATAACGACTTCATGCCTTAACTGCATGCAATCGAAAC